TATGTAATTAAAGCAACAATAAAGATAATGGCTTTTATTAAATGTACAAAATAACACCCCACTAACCATTTTTAGTAATAGAAAATTACTTTTTAGAAATAAATGTTTGTCCTCTGAGGGTTTTCTGGACTCAGTATGTAGCAGTGACACTTGTGTAACAAAATGTTTTTTGTACAAACTGAACAAGTGAAATCTGTTTTAACTGGACTGAGAAAATAAGTGACATTTATGTCAGAGGCAAATGCAAATGATAAAAGTCATGAATCACAAGTTGCATCCGCTAGCTTTAGCCTTAAACGATGTGACAAACAGAGTATGCTATGAAAGCCTTTCAGACATGAAAATACATATAAAATACATGTTTTCTAATATCTGTGAACAGTGCCATCTGGATTTAATAAGGCCCTGGGAGTCTGATTAATGAGCTGGGTACCCTAAGTAAACTGTTGCAGATGTGAGATAACTGCAGCTGCACATTTACCAAACAACTCAATTTAGATGCACAGAAGTTAGTCTTAATATTAGAGGTGATTGTCAGTTGACCCGTCTCATTGGCCTGGAGCTTAGGTGTAAAACAAGCAGCCAGAGTCTGCACAGTGAAACACTGGTAAACAACAATATTTTATAATCTAACACAGAAATTAATATAATTTAATTGACAATTGAAGGCCTAGCATTTCTTCAGGAACACAAATTGCCTGATGCTCTTCATGCTAAAGTTTTAGACTAAGATCTATTTATGATGAGATATGACAGATTTGCATGGAGCCTGTGCAGTCACCACGAGATAATAACTTGTTGCCACAAGATCGTCATTGTGTGGCTATGAGATAACTATTGCATGCAGTTAGTGTTGATTGTTTACATAGTCAAGTTGGAAATTATTATGCCTCCGCCCGAGGAGGCGGGTTGGAGGCATACTGTTCTTTGGTTGTCCGTCTGTGTGTTACTGGGTGCGAAATTCCATCTGTCATGGAAGCTCCTGAATGGAGCTATTGAGTTCAGTCCAAATTAACATAATTGGTCTTGGCCCAGTGGAGGTCTGAAAATATTTGGGGTCAAAGGTCAAAGCTGAAGGTCAGGTAAAGTGATCTTTGTGGCTCAAATCGATTATTTTGGATGGTACACAAACTGTAAGTGGTTGGACATTGAAATTTCTATGGTAAATATCAAATAGGAAGTCATGTTTACACATTGTTGATATAGTTACATACTTAGAATGTTTAAGTCCAAAAATAAAGGTCAACAGGTAACTGAATGCCCAGGGCTTTAAGCAAGTGGAGTCACACCAGTCGATGTTTTGGCGTAGAGTTCTACCTTGTTTTATTTTTTTATTTATTTATTCATTTCATTAAAACATACAAYAAATAATATACACTCAACAAAAAAAAATACAAATCACAAATAAAATGAAAGGCAGCAGAAAGAAGAAAAAATCTTATTAATATCTGCCCCTTTTTTCAAACAGTAAATAAATTAAAACAATAGTCTTCCAACAGCATAACAAAAAACTTCAACTCACTCYTGAGCGACAATTCTCATGAATGCTCATTACAGGAATTCATATTTGTTCAACAAACTAGCTTTTATCATTTTCTTAAACAGACTTAGAGTGCCAGCATTTTTGTAACCACTCTCCAGATTATTCCACAACCTTATTCCTTGTGCTGAAGTACACCAGTCTTTTAAATCTGTTCTAATCTTGGGCTTTACAAACATTGGGCTTTTTTGGTAAATGGTATGGTACTGAACTTATAGAGCGCCTTTCAAGTCCCTCCGGACCCCAAAGCGCTTTACACTAACAGACATTCACCCATTCACACTCACATTCACACACTGATGATGGCAAACTACAYTGTAGCCACAGCTGCCCTGGGGCACACTGACAGAGGTGGGGCTGCCATACATCGGCGCCACCGGACCCTCTGACCACCATCAGTAGGCAAGGTGGGTGAAGTGTCTTGCCCAAGGACACAACGACTGAGACGGCTGGACAGGGGATCGAACCAGCGACCTTCTGGTTCCAGGACGACTCACCTAACCACTCCGCCACAGCGGAGATTTATCCAATGTCAGCAGATGAGCTCCATACTTTTGTAACATTTTGGGTCAAACCTTTAAGATCATCCATACTCTTTACCTGCTTCTTCCTTTCAGGGTCACGGGTACCTCAGGACAGGTTGCAAGACTTTAAAATCAGTCATGCTATATTGCAAATGAACATACTCCAAATCTGTAGAACTTGGGCATACGAGGTGTGTAAAAGTCTCAGCTGTAATCACATCAAATTTGAGCTCAGTAACTATAAGATTGACTTAATTAAAGCTACTTTTGAGTTGGTAGGATGAGTTGGCTGCAGTAGCCATCCAGTGATTTAATACAGTTTCATTTATATTCATCCAGTCGTTTACAATATATTTTGCTAACAGACAGACACAGTTGTATCATAGTTAAATTTTAAACAAAGATCTTGCTCAATTTTTAATATGTGTTGGGAATAAGTTTCAACTACTGTACTTTTCTGTAAAACTGTTTGAGTTAGAGCCATTTTTGAGCTTCATGAACTATTTAAGCTCTTAAGTTATTTTGCTAACAGACACACACCTATCGCCCACTTTTGCTTTGGACATTGTGTCAGTTATCTAAAGCTGGTTCTTTCTGTTTTACAGAGAGCACATGCTGACACACAAACAGTAGATCCTGAGTAGGGATGCACGATATATCGGTATTGATATCAGTATCGGCCAATATTATTCATTTTTTAGAATATCGGTACGGTCCAATATGTAAAACGGGGCCGATATTAATGTCCAATATTGATTTCCCACTTTTCAGCTTTGTGTTTCTGTTTTGGAAGGGGAGACACTTGGTTGAGTGGCATCTGTTTGATCATGATGGTGATATTGATGTTGTGTAGCCAGGAATAACTGAAGTAGAGCCATGTCAGAGGTCTGGTTGTTTATTTACAGTATCAAAAGAAGACCCAAGTGTGTTTTTGCATATATGTATAATGTAATTTGTATGTTTGTGTAATATAGGTAAATATCGGTTATCGGCCATAACACCAATAATTATATCGGATATCGATATCGGCTGAAATTTTCATATCGGTGCATCCCTAATCCTGAGTCAGTCATTCACAATCAACACAATCAGCTGTTTGAAATGCGGGCTGCAAAGAATCCTCATTAATTGTGTAAAATAGATGTATCTCTATAAAAAGTGACAGAAATGGTGTAATGGTGAGCTTCATGGGTAGTAGACATGTTAGATAATTGGCTCTTTACAGTAAGGTTAAGGACTTAAAGACAACAAATTGTTTTTTTTTTATCTCTTTTAGAGGCAGTTCAGAGTGCCAAAAATAATTAGGGCATTGCTGATTGTTATGGTTCTTTTGTCACACTGCGGCAAAACAGACAGGAGGGAGGATGTCAAGCAAGCTTTGAGTTTTATTTTAGTTAAGCAGAACTGATGCTGCTCATTACAAACTGGGAGTTGTGTACCTGACAGTCTTTTTTTAGCCACACTATCTGGATCTATAAGACAATGTTAGAGAAATGCTTTAACAACAAACAGAGTCATTGGAATCAGTATAAAAGATTTAATTCATCCTTGCACCAAGTGGACAAGTTATATAACAGTTTTGACAAAGTTTTCCCTTTCACTTGGTTTACAGGCCGTTTTGCTCCCATTTCATTGGTTTAACACACTTCTGAATTCCAAAGTTTACAGCTATGTGAACCATTGTAATCCCAGACTACTCCACAAATATCCAAGATATTTAATTTAAGTGTAAGTCTCAATGTCTGGTGCAAGTCCATGGGTCCCCCCTGGTTTCTAGATTTTTTTACTCTGTAGATTCACTCCATCCTGGCCCCAATCTGGTTGTTCAATCCTGTAGGGGTAGATAATGGACAGAACAATCTCTTCTGTTCGTGATTCATTTGTTGTTTAACTAAGAATGTTTATGCATTTGTTAAAATCATGATAATGACTGTCACAGGAAAAGTGGAACCACTTCTTTTCTTTTATCGTGCCTTGAAGATTTATAATGGTATAAAAAATCACAGAGAATCTGATTACAATGTTTTCATTGTGTTTTTTATGTAAATCACTGTTTTTTTGTTGTACTGTGAACACAGTAATATAATTGTGGATTTTTCCTCAGAAAATCTTTCATTTATCTGGACTAACAGAAGGTTCAGAACCAATTATAAAACAGAAATGTTAATTAATCATCATAAATGTTTTGCAGTGATTTCTCTTAGTCTATCAGAAGAAAGCTGAAAAGAGGTTATCATATCATGTTGTTAAACAACCACAGAATTTTAACCTTGGGCTGGCGCCGGCTGGCAAATCTTTATCTTTCTTTCTCTGACTCATCTCTAGGCCTGAGGGCGGAACCAAAGTTCATCCGTTTCTTTTACTAAACCCGGATGGCTTTGAGCGACACACTCTTCTTCCTGATTCCAACCTAGGAAGACAGCTGGGATTCTCTCCGGAGAAACCTTAGTTTGGCTTTAAGCCTGATCCCATGAGCTAATTAGGGAAGACTTCACAGCCGGGGACCTGGCACGCCTGCCGGTGGTTCCAAATCGAGGCTTCAAGCCTCTGAGTGTTTTTAACTCCCGAGGGGAGATTTTATTTTGGAAAGAGGAACCAGACATGGCTTGAATTTTTCTGGCTTGGACTGAAACAGACGAAAGTTACGTGGAAAAACACCTGTTCGCCAATGACCGGTAAGCGAGCCGACATCAGTTCCCTGATTGATCGGAGGCGAGCCAGCTCCTACCCTGAGGGTGCCTTAAGAAGCCATCAACAGGTAAAAGCTGATGTGTTCGGAATGACGTGTCATGTGGAACCTGAGCTTAGAAAAGACGTGCAGTTCTGGTTGACCCACACTTTGATAAAAGTAAAAGTCGTAGTAACATACTAATCTTACTTTCTATCACGAGTCGAGGCAGATGAGCAGACCAGCAATGAAACCACATAGAAACCAATTCAAAAACAAGTAACAGTGTTTATTTTACAGGTGCACAGGGAGAGGGAGTGGGGATCCAGACCTGAGGAGAGCGAGATGAGCAGGTGAGTATGCAGGTAATGATTCTTAGCGGGGATGCAAATTGTTTGTATGAATTGGATCTCCTTACTTTCAGTGACAAGGTGAAGAGTCCAGGAGAGTATATACAAGGAGGCGCGTTGGAGGCAGAGAGGCTGGTGCTTACAGGTTTGGTTGGTTCTTTCAGATTGTTTTCTTGGAGGATCTGTCCAGCAAAGCTCGGGAGGGTTCACAAGAGTAGACGTTGCTTCAGCGTCGAGGAGAAGTCATCAGCTGTCTTATAAAGGGTGAGTGGTTGAGTCAACCACAGGTGGAGCTGATGATTAATCAGCAAGTGGCAGCAGACAATTAGGGTGAGGAGGCAGAAATGCCTCAGTACCCCCTCCTCAAAAATCGCCTCCCGGCGATTAAAACCTCTTAGACGGATTGTTCCTGTAAAAAGAGGATATTAAAACAGGATCCAAAATGTGGGCCCGGGGGACCCAGGAACGTTCCTCGGGGCAGTAACCCTCCCAGTCCACCAGAAACTGCACTCCACGTCCCCGGCGTCGCACATCCAAGATTCTTCTTACTGTGTAGATGGGGTCGGCACCCAGGAACCAGGTGGGTGGGCGGGGGTCGGAAGGAGGGTGCAGCGGGCTATCCCGCACAGGCTTGATCTGGGAGACGTGGAATGTTGGGTGAACCCTCATAGACGCTGGTAATCGCAGTCGGACAGCAGAAGGGTTTATTATCCTCTCCACGGTGAAGGGACCGATGAACCGTGGGGATAATTTCTTGGGAAAATCTTTCAGATTAATGTCTCGGGAGGAGAGCCATACCTTCTGTCCGACTGTGTATGAGGGGGCGGAGGACCGATGGCGGTCTGCATACTTCTTGTTTTGCGTTGCGGTGCGGARAAGGGCCCTCTTGGTCTGGTTCCAGATCCTGCGATATCTTGCCATGTGTTGTTGCACGGAGGGGACCAAGGATTCTGTTTCCTCATCTGGGAAGAGAGGGGGGTTATAACCCAGAGAGACCTCGAAGGAAGAATAACCGGTAGCTGATGATGTGTGGCAGTTATGGGCATATTCTACCCATGGCAGGTGTTGGCTCCAGGAGTTGGGGTTGTTGTTTATAACACACCTGAGGGCCATCTCCAACTCCTGGTTACACCTCTCCACCTGACCGTTAGACTGTGGGTGATGGCCAGAAGTTAAACTAGAATGTGCACCAATGGAGGAACAAAAGGCTTGCCAAACCTGAGCGGAAAATTGAGGTCCACGATCTGAGAKGATATCGGTGGGGATGCCATGGAGACGGACCACATGCTGGCAAAGGAGTCTGGCTGTCTCTAGGGCRGATGGAAGTTTGGCCAATGGCACGAAATGGGCAGCTTTAGAAAAACGGTCAATGATGGTTAGAATGGTGGTGTTACCCTGTGATGGTGGAAGTCCAGTTACGAAATCCAGGGCTATGTGGGACCAGGGGCGGCTTGGCACGGGCAGAGGTTGTAGTAGTCCAGCGGGTGGTTGGTTGCTGCTTTAATTCTGGGCACACACGGGACAAGCAGAAACAAACTCTTTTACRTCTGGGATCAACGTAGGCCACCAGAAGTATCGTTTGGTGAATGCCAACATACGTGTGATCCCAGGGTGACAGGTAAATCGGTGATTGTGGACCCAATCTAAGACTTTGCTTACCACTGATTGAGGTACATACTTGGTTCCAGGTGGGCCCGTGCCAGGGWCAGGTTCAGAAACTTGGGCCAGTCGGATGACGTTTTCGATGTTCCAAGTGAGGGTTCCCACGAAACAGGTGGAAGGGATGATGTTGGTATCCTGATCTGTTCTTTCAGTGGAGGAGAACTGACGGGAGAGGGCATCTGGTTTAATGTTCTTTGAACCTGGAATATAGGTTATAGTGAAATTGAAACGTGTAAAGAACAGAGACCAACAAGCTTGTCTGGGGTTTAATCGCTTTGCATTTTGAAGGTAAGACAGGTTTTTATGATCAGTGAAGATG